TTAAACACACGTTCTTACTCACTGCTGTCTTTTGTTGCCTCTTGGATTGCTCTTTTAAAATCTCCTGCAAGTTTCTGTAGAATCTGTCTTCGTTATCTTTCTGGGCTGTCCTCACTAAGCCCTCAGACCAGCCATGACTGCTCATACTCTGAACTCCCATAACCCTCTGTGCCACTCAGAGACCACGTAACTTAGTAGTTGAAAAGGCAGCCTCTCCCTCTCTCTAGGTGTGTGAGCTCACCTGTGCTCTCTTCTGTCAAAGGGGATGTATCAGTTAGCATTCTTGTAGAGAACCAAATTCACTCTTGTCAATTTAAATAAAAAATGATGTTGTAGGGTGGTAAATACCATGAAGTTTGAGTTTCCAAGAAAAAAAAAAAAAAGATTGCAATACAAGCTTTCTGAGGAGTCCCAGTCTACTTTTCAGAAACATAGCACCATGGGAACTGCTGGTTCTCCCACAGCTAGGAAGTTATGGGGGGGGGGGTGCAGAGGCCATGGAAATGAAAGGGTGGCAAGAGTGGTGCCCACTTTCTCTGATCCAGCTAATAAAATGAATGCCCTGTACTTGTCTCTTGGTGTGAAAAGTTAATGGCTAGTTTGCAATCATATAGTTCTGTGGCCATTTTTATAAACAATGAAAGCAAAGCATGGTCTCTGCCTCATTTCCCCCTTCTGGATTTTATGGCAGATATTCATAGGGAGCAAATCTAAGTTAGATCCTTGCATCTTAGCTGCAAAGGAGTCTGGAAAAGGTAATTTTGAAGTTTGAGGCCTCTGCCGAGGAGAAAGGCGCGGGCTGGGAAAGGGGATGGTTGTTAAGGCCTTATAAGTGGTATCTACATAAGGCTAATCGATGTTATCTGCCTTTGAGGATTGACAAGCGGATTGCAGTTAAGCAATAAATACCAACTACTTATGGCTGTGCCTGGGGCCACATTGAACACACACACACACACACACACACACACACACACACACACACACAAATGCACCTATTATTCTGCCAGCCAGCCTGTCAGACAGTGGTCCTTGGGAAAGACAAACAGCCTGGAGCTAGATTCTCCAAATTACCCACCTGATAAAAACGTTAATGTACCTATTTATTGCATGAGAAAAGCAGGTCTTCCTTGCAAGTTTTAGATAAGAATCATGCTCTCCCTCACTGGTTTCTGCAAAGGGCGACTCGAAACTTGTCGTGAAAGCACTTTGGTGTTAAACGGATACTGGGTGAGTTGCAATCTGTACTCAGATTGCAGTCCTTCCCTGGAGAATGCACTCTGCCTCTGTCTCTGTCTTCTGCCACCATTTCACCATTTCACTCTCTACTAATCCACTAATTTCAAACAGCTCCCCTACAGCCCCATGGGAAAAAACAAGGCTGGCTTGCTCCTATCTCTGCCTCAAGGAGGAGAACGTAAGCTCTTTCCTAGCTCTTCAAAGCCCCTCTTCCTAAGACTCTCCAGAAATACCCCTGTCTATGCCCTACAATTTTTGCTACTGCAGGGCTAGGCAAAGAGGCCCAACCTCAAGGACCAGACAGGTGGCTCTGGAGCAAAAGCTGTGAGGCGTTTTCCTCAGGGAGAGAAATTCCGAACGTTTAGCTCACTCTTTCCTGCCATAAAGCACACTGACTGTTAACAGCTTGCTGCTGTCCAAGCTGGTGTTTTTTAAATTAAGTATTGTTAAATCCATACCATTTGGAATGATGCTTCAGACAGCCCTGACACTCGCTCTTGCTGCTGCTTTCATTTCACCTAATATATTGTGCATGGAACCAGGAACCAGGCTGACGGCTGCCACAGCTTCTGGGGGCTGCTGTGCACAGACACTTGCAGACGGCTTTAATTTAGATACCTGAAGAGGAAAAAAGGAACGCGGCCAACGCCCTGCTCAATGCCATAAGTGGTCTTTCCCCAGCTGCTGTAACTATGATCTACATTACTTGGGGTTTATGTTATTTTTCCCTTGGCCCTTAAAACCTCTTAGAAGTGACAAAGTTGGGAGACAGAAGCTGCAGACTAAAACAAGATACTTTCCACAGCCAGGTAAGCTATACACACAAGAAACCCTGGTCGTCTCCATTTCTGCTCTTTCTCCTCTGCCATAAGCAGCCTCATTCATCCTCTACCGGGTGCCAACCTCGGAATCTGTGTGTGTGTAAATAAGTAAGTAAAACTGTGTTTTTATAGGGATGAGATGAGTGGACCTAAAGTTGGAAGACCTGCTTCTGCGGCCAGCTCCAGCCTGTGGGGCCTCTATCGGGTTGCCTCTGAGCCCCAATTTCACACTTCCTGGATGGTAGGAACACTTAAGCAGCTCTACAAAGTACTCAAAAGTCTCCAAAATTACAGAAACTAGAAATTATCTGCTAGCTCATCTTAAAAACTCTTCCCAGTGACTCAAACCCAAGTTGATTTTGTTCTTTCTTTTTTTTTTTTTTAAAGTTAAATTAAGCATGGCATCTCCCTTGTACTACATGAGCCATAGAGTAAAGCCATTGCTTTTTCTCATGTCTCTTGGTACTCCTCATAGAAAAGAAAATGCTCTGAGCCTAGTGACCACATTTGAGACACCGGGATTGGGTATCCTCCATACATTCGACTCACAATTGACATCTTGACTACACTGCTGAATTATTCTGGGCTTTCATTGTAGGGACCCCCTTGCTGACGTGACACCAAAACTCGGAAGACTATTTCCAAGCAGAAGAATCTGGGTTAGCGCAGAAGTGGTATTTTCTGATCACTTCGATTTCTTTCCCTACAAATAGCATCTTGCTATTCACAGTGTCATGGTATGCCTCAATTCCAATAATTCACAATATTCCTTTTACCTTACCTGTTCTTCCTTCTAGTTTGACACTGTCTGATGTGTGAGTGTTCACAAGGAGGACAAAGCGGTGCTGAGTGAGATGTTCCATTTTGTAGAAGTGACTAAAACTCTTCAGCTGATGACGCAAGAGGTCTGGAAAACTCTGTGGCAGAATGTTCTTCTCTCTCTCTCTCTCTCTCTCTCTCTGTGTGTGTGTGTGTGTGTGTGTGTGTGTGTGTGTGTGGAGAGAGAGAGAGAGACATAGCCTAGGTCTGAGGGTTTATTTCAGTCCATCAACCTTTCACCATTGTGGTAAGGACTGCAGATACTACCCAACATAGCTCCATTTACTTGTGAGTGTTATTTAGTTTATACACATTCTGTACTTTTTCAGAGATTTGTAAAACTAATCATTCTAAAAGGGAAAAGCATATTTCAAAAATTAGACCTTTTGGGCTTATAGGTGCGGGCTTTCCAAGTTCAGCATAAACTGTTGAGGACCAAGGTGAGTCCTCCTATGCCCTAAACTTTCCTGACAGGTTGAAAGCGAGATTTTTAAAAGCTCCGCTCTAATCGATACACCACATGGGAAGAGTGTGCAAAGCTGAGCAAGCTGCTTCTCTTCCCCTCTTTGCAAGGCCTCCAGCAGGTGTGGATATGGCAGGCTTGCCCGTATTCGCACACCTATTGGAGGGAGGTGGTTTTTAATAATGAAAGCGAAGAGCATGCATTCCAAGTGCCCTCTCCCTCTTCCACTGTGTATTTCTGGGCTGTCAGATCTGCAAGGGAAACACGTCTGTGGAAATGCGGGGCTATGCTTCCTGCTTTATTCACTTCAAACTGGATGAGTTCCTGAGCCGATAAGGAGGAAAGGCAGCCTTGTTGGACACTTAACACGTGTCTAATAGTGTAATAAAATACCCCCTAGCCCGCTCAGGCTTTGCCTGACGTGGATGCAGCAGGCTCAGCATCTTCTGGCCTTTTCCTGTGGCCATGCGGTCACCCTGGAGCTCATTAGTGTGTCCTACCCCTGGGTGACACCTCAGAGGTCAAGCTGTCTGACCCTCTTTCCAAGTGTTGAGGAAAGAGGTGGCACCGCCTCATCCTTCTCTGCCCAATCATCTTGTCATAGCAATGAGAAAGAAGTGGTACCTCAGTCATCCTTCTTTACATCACAAAAGCTCTGAGAAAGCCAGAGTCAGGTGTCCTTTGAAGAAGGTTTGGGGTTAACTGAGGGTTAATTCACCCCTTCTTTCCTGTCATGGGCTAAATCAAATAATTAAATATTGGCAAGGAGTCAAAACCCAGCGTTGTTTCACCCCAGATTTGAGCATCCTCACCCTTGAGTCTTTGTCAAGGGTTCCTTTTAAACTAGGGTTCTAAATGAGTCTAATTGTACCTTTAAAACTCATCAATATTGGATGTTTCAACTTGTCGCACTACAAGAAAGTACTTTGCCATCCCTTTATTTTCAAACCAAAACCTTGATACAGAAAATAACTAACGCCGTTGTTACGTTTAGTAAGGACCTTTCAAAACCATCTATAGTATTCTTTTCCACTCAAAGGGGAAAATAAAAGGGCACTTTATGGAAGAGAAGGAGAGTGCTCGCACCAAATACACTTAAAGGGCACATTCAGTAGGGCTTGGTCCCTTTATAGCATATGTTCTATATTGACGGGGATTAAGTTTCTCCCCTGAATGGAACAATGCACCATCTCAGGGAGCTACTGTACTTTCCAGAGCAACAGACACCAGCCCAGGCAAACGGCAAACAGAATCGCGTCCCGCAGCCTCAAAGAGCACTAACCAGGTTGGTTCCGAGCGCAGAACTGCTTCTGCCTCTGACATCTCTCCTCAAATCAGCTCCTTGCTCCGTTGCCTTTCCGTCCCTTTCCCTCTTTTCTGCTCACAGTGTTCACTTTCTCTGCACCCCCCCCCCCCCGCTTTGTTATTCAGCATGTCTGATTAGCAGGAGTCTGATTGGCTGGCTGCCTGCTCTAGAGAGATTCCATTCAGCTTACCCCCCACCCATCCACCCACCCACCCTCGCTCAGGAAATGTGAGCGAGGCTGATGGAAGCTGATAGGCAGGGCTGGCGTGTGAGCCCCAGAGCTGGATGTGACAGCACCGGGCAGAGGAGCGTTAGCAGCTTATTCAGTGTCCGATTCGGATTCCGGCAAAGATCCAAGCATGGAATGCTGCCGTCGGGCAGCTCCTGGCATACCGCTGCTCTTTCTGGCTTTCCTACTCCTGGTAAATGCCTTTTCATTTCAATACGTTGCTATTGCCACTTGGTCTGGGTGCTCTTGGAAGGGGTGTGTGTGTGTGTGTGTGTGTGTGTGTGTGTGTGTGTGTGTGTGTGTGTGTGTGTGTGTTGTGTGTGTGTGTGTGTGTGTGTGTGTGTGTGTGATCTTCAAACTCCAGGTAAAAGAATTTGCAGGGTTTACAAAACCCAACAAAATACAAACTCAACTCCTCTGAGAATTTTAACCCCAACTTTCCCAGAAAAATCAAATATAAAAGACTTTCTGAAACTAGTTACAGGTACATAATGATACTCATAGCAAGACTTAAACTTCAGGACATACGACAGCAGTTAGTATTGCTGAGAACTGTATGAACAGTTGGGTGTTTGCATGGAATTTGGGGGACAGATGTACTGAGATCAAACTCATTGTGGTGTTTCGGGTGTTCTGAAGGATAGCCGGTGAGGACCTTGCCTGCTTCTTGTTCCCCCAGTGCCTTGTCTGAATTATGTTCCTCTATACATAAGGACTACTGAACCAGGTGAAAAAAAAAAAAAAAGGAACGAGGGCCCTGTTTACAGTCAACCCAGATTATAGCCCTTAATTACTATACTCGTTTATGGGTTCAAGTTAATGCTAGTGTTTATGAACTGAAGATTAAAGTCTCTGATCTCAGATCTACTTCTGAAGGCAAACAGGGATCGATGACTTCTTGTCCTTCTGACGACCAGTCACAGTGATAAGGCTCGTCTCTTGAACATCAGCACAGATTGCAGTTTTGACTCAAAGTAAATGTTCCATTGTGAGTCATACTTGGTTTTATGGGCAAAAAATGAACATATACTGTCCAAAAAAAATCTACACTCAAAATATTAATAGCAATGCACATTTCTTTTAAACCAGAGTGTTCTGGGCAGGCAGTTTAGTAAACCTCATCTGAAGGTTTGCTTCCAAAATTTGCACACACCAATTCCAAAGAAACGTGACTCTAGCTCTCCCTGTCACAACTATGGCATGCCAGAAGGTCTTCAGAAGGGGGACCAAGGTAAAAGCACAACCATTGTCTAGGACGTGCTGTTTTGTAAATGGGGAAGGAATATTTTGTTCTGCTCTGATTCTGACAAATTTGATCGACACTGGAATTTTGATGAAGGGAATCAAACCATTTGGGACAACTTGGAAAACTCCAGGTAGATCAGTGGGATGCAGTGACCAGAGAGCAATGAAGTATTTCTTGCATTGTCATATCTTAATCAATTGCATTGCTGTAGCTACAAACTTAGAATACTGTTTGCCAATTAGAAATAGTTTCAATTTTCATGAATGCTTAAACAAAAACTAAAGTGTGAGCAAGAGTAAACTAAGCATTAGTTATGCCGAGGCCTAAACCCAGCAGTGTGGGAGGTGTGCTTTACGGCTGTGGAGCGGGCAGTTTGGGAAAGGTGTCTCATTTTTTCCATATGGGGTATGTGACTTGCATACATCGTTAGTTTGTCTCATCTTTCCTTCTTTGTGATTGTTTTTAAAGTGTATGTTATTCTCCCATTAAATTGCATCATAAAGCAAATTACCAGTTCACATTACTGGCTATGTTATTTTCATGTGGAATTATGATTTCATTATACTTAAACAACACTCTCATTCATCAGCAGATTGATTTTCTACTCATTTGGTAAATACATTACATTCCCTTTTGATATCGTGAATATTCATATATCTGAGCAAGTAATTAGACTGGCATTGAAAAAAGTGTGTATTTCAAAACGATTTAATAAATGTTTGAATTATAATTATTACATTATGGAATTAGAATGAAATCATACCAAGACTTGTTTTAAGCATATGCTTAAGTGATTATGAGTTTGAAGATTATGCTAGAAAAGAAAGAATTATAATGGCTGTCATGCAGGTTGTGTCTGAAGATGTCAAACACTAGGTTAGTTGTTTGAAATTCATTCTTGGGGCTCCTCAGAATAGCCCTGTAAAACAGATACTTTTAAGCCCATTTTATAGATGGGAAATCAAGTTTATATGTACTTTGTACTGTGGGTATCAAGTGCTCAGGGGTTAAAGACATACTCTTCATTGGAGACATGCCAGCTTTACAGATCAGTAAGGCCTTTAAAGATAGGTGTAATGGCTGCTCACTGTGCTTCATCATTAAGTGCTCTGTTTAGCTTTGTACCAAAATGAATCATTGGCTTAAGAGAAAGTGAACTTTAGCTTGACCTGTGTTGACTTAGAACCAGAAGTGTGAAGTCATCGGCTCAACTTTCAGGCTTGATACAGGAATTTAATTGGAGGATTTGTTATTTCTATATTTCTTTCATATATTACAAGAGTCTGTCTAGTATTAGAATTAACTAAGCATATCTATCCTGTCTGTCTAGTGGCCAGCCCAGTTGTTGCCCGAGCAAACTAGACTTCATTTCATTGACAGCACCATAATCTGTATTAGAACTTGGTTCTTGAACGCGTACAAATGCAGAATGATACGGAGCCTTATTGTTGTGCACAATCCTCTTTTCTCCTAGAACATTATTCCTGAGACAATGGGGCCCTTGTGTGCTGGCGTCTGTCCTAGCTTACTGTACATATTTTAATGCACAGTAATCGTGTCACCATAGACTTTCTTTTTTTTCTCTCCGCAAAGTGTTCAAGAGGTTTCATCTTGCTATTCAGGTCATATTAAAGTTTCTGTCCTTACCCAACTTCCCCAGTCTTCCCACCCTTCTCTCTTTTGTCTCAATTGTTTAGATCAAAAGAAATGTGCCAAAACCCATGACCGGCCATTGACACTTGTGTCCATCTACACTTGAATCTCTTCCTGTCAGAGATGCATTTAATCAAGCCCGAGTTTGCTTTGTGTTTCTGTAAAGTGACTGCAAGGCCCTTCCCCTGCTATTGTGAGGGTTGCAACAGTAACACTTGGAATTATAATAAAGTACATGTGTTTTTCTGTTGAATTTCTTTTTCGTCTCTACACTAATTTACACATGGAAACTGGTCAAACACAATAGCCCATTCCTTTCAGCTCCTCTGGCATTCTCCTCGACTATTATCTAAGTGAATCTGTCTTGGATGGTGAGAAGCACCATTAGCCTGTGGAATGAATGTTAAATGCCTTATTACAACAGATTGTGGCCTGTTCCAGAAGTGTGTGTGTGTGTGTGTGCGTGCACACACACACACACACACACACACACACACACACACACACGTGCAGACGTGTATGCATGTACAAGCCTTCTGAATAACTGCTTGCTTTCCATTTATTTTTTTTATTCTCATATACATACAGTCTTTAAATCAAGACTAAGGACTTTCCTTATAAATCTATAGGAGTAATGGAATTTGTTACAAAATTACTTTCCTTACGATTTTGTGTCGTTCCTTGTCATCTTGGTTGCCCATCTTTAGTGATTTTGATGTCAAGGGCCAATATCACTTTCATGAGAACCAGTGTACCATTTCATATTAGTGGAGGGAAGAATTGTCCAATAGTGGTCACTAGTGAACCACAGAAGAAACCTGTTACACTGGGGAAGTTTACCCCTGGAAAAGTCTATGGATAGTAAAGACTTGAGAAGATGAGGGACTACAAATATAAGTGCATGTCTGCCCCATTATATGATGGTTAATCATGTTGGTGCCCTCTGTCAATGTCTGTGAAGAATGTGGAAATCAGTCTTGTGCATTCATTGTTGCACAAGTTCATTCTTACTCTGTAAAGTTAAAGTTAGGGTTTGTGCAACTTTATATGAGCATAAGATACTATATCTATGAAAGCATCTAGATGATGTCCTTTATACACAGATATGAGACCTACTGTGAGCTTGACTAAGAGAAGGACTAATCGTCTCCATCCAGTGTGGCTCTATCTTCCCATTTCTCTCCTCTGACTTCATATGCACAATCCAGTTTCTTTGGTCAAATGACAGTTCTGCTTTTAATTTGTGTATCTCTCAGGTTCCAGGACTGACACTTTCTTGGGTTCATTGTTTGAGTTCCATTCTTCCTTTTCCTCGGCAAATGTACTCTCCGATTTCTGAGGTCTCATGAGCCAAGTGACCTTAGAGTGACCTCTTCTCAGAATGAGGACATGAGTCTCATTTTGACGGGGAGGGGTCCTTGAATCACTATGAATGATCTACTGGTTGAATGTGCTGAGGTGACCTCAGGGACATGTGCATGATTCGAGTTTCAGACTTGCCATCTTCACTCATTTTCCTCAGAAAGCTGCCTTCAGGCTTTGTGTTTTGACCAGAGTGAGACAGATTCATGTCATTTTCTGTCTACATCATAAAAACTGTACCATGTGGTCGGACTTTGGCTTGATTGGCAGTACTGGCTCATGAGCAGCTTAGGCCTGGCATACCAAGGTGATGTAAGTCTGAAAGGATCCTAATTGAAATAGGCCAGCACAGCTGTGTGGGGAGCCGGCCTGCTAACTGGGTAAGCTGTTGCTATCAACCCCTTCTTTCCATGAGCTCAAAAATAAATGACTAAATCGCCCCAATTCCCGGACTTCAAGATTAAAACCTACATCGAATAAAGCTTAACTGTTCTCACTTTCTTTTGTCTTTGTTGGCTGGAGCAACCAGCATGATGGGTAGGTAGGTAGGTAGGTAGGTAGGTAGGTAGGTAGTTAGTTAGTTAGTTAGTTAGTTAGTTAGTTAGTTAGTTAGTTAGTTAGTTA